TTCTTCTTCTTCTTCTTCTTCTTCTTCTTCTTCTTCTTCTTCTTCTTCTTCTTCTTCTTCTTCTCCTTCTCCTCCTCCTCCTCCTCCTCTTCTCTTCCTCCTCCTCCTCCTCCTCCTTCTCCTTCTTCTTCTTCTTCTTCTCCTTCTTCTTCTTCTTCCTCCTCCTCCTCCTTATCCTCTTCTTCTTTCTTCTTCCTCCTTCTCTTCTTCTTCTTCCTTCTTTCTTCTCTCCTTCTCCTTCTTCTTCCTTTCTTCTTCTTCTTTTCTTGCACTTTGCCCTTCTCTCCTTTCCCTGCCTATGCTCTAGGCCCATGAGGTGTTCCTATCTTTATTCCCTAATGGATATCCTAAAGGGATGATATGAAAAATGGTTATTGACTTGAACAGTAATAAAAAACAATATTTAAATACAAAATTAAAAATATTTTTGTTTTCTGCATAAACTCCTTCCATAAACAGAGGTAAAATTTAATTAGAATGCAGAACAGAGGCCTTATGCACCACTGCAACTCAGGCTTATGCAACCTGTCTGTTCCAGAGGTCTCCATCCTGTGGCAGGAGTATCTGTAGTATTGAAAAACTCCTCAATGCCGGGCATGTGTCTGTAGTAGTCTCTGTTACAATCCATCTGCATTCTCATTCCTGCTCTCTCAGAACCAAACTCCTAAGAAGGCTACAACTCTCATAACTGGACCTTTGAGAGAATAATCTGGAGGAAGTGCTGGACAAAATGAGTAACCACAGCCTTAAGAATATGTAGGGTGGGCCGGCCGAGCATGGTGGCTCACACCTGCAATCCCAGCACTTTGGGAGGCTGAGGTGGGCAGATTACTTGAGATCAGGAATTCAAGATCAGCCTGGCCAACATGGCGAAACCCTGTCTCTACAAAAAATTAGCTAGGCATGGTGCTGGGCGCCTGTAAAACCAGCTACTCAGGAGGCTGAGGCAGAAGAATCACTTAAACCTGGGAGATGGAGGTTGTAGTGAGCCAAGATTGTGCCACTGCACTTCAGCCTGGGGAGACAGAATGAGATTCTGTCTCAAAAAAAAAGAATATGTGGGATGAATTCAAATGGATACTGAGCATTTGCTGCCCAGGGTGCAACTTCTGCCCCAAGGGCACTATCCCCCTTGGTAATGTGCAGCCTTACTCTTGCCTGGGGAAAATTGGGGCAAGGAGTGATGGGGGAAAGGATATCTACTGGGGTCTCTAGGACTGGGCAGGAAGCACAGTTCTGAAGCACAGGCTGACCTCTAGGGTATTTATGGGTAGTCCAAGTGCCCAGGATGGAAGGCTGATAGGAAGGCTGACTGAGGATGTTGGGGGCGTTGGGGGGATGCTACCCGACTACAGAAGACTTTAGTGTATAGCTATTAAATATTTAGCAGAGGCCTACTGGCTGAATGCAAAAGAGAACTTTCTCATTTCCAGATTAAAACATAAAAAGAACAGGGTTTCTTTCTTTTCTTTTCTTTTTCTTTTTTAGATGGAGTCTCACTGTGTTGCCCAGGCTGAAGTGCAGTGGCACTATCTTGGCTCACTGCAACCTCTGTCTCCTCAGTTCAAGTGATTCTCATGCCTCAGTCTCCAGAGTAGGGACTACAGGCATCTGTCACCATGCCCAGCTTATTTGTTTTGCATTTTTAGTAGAGACAGGGTCCCTCATGTTGGCCAGGCTGATCTCGAGCTCATGACCTCAGCTGAGGTCCCAAAGTGTTGGGATTACAGGTGTGAGCTACCATGCCCAGCCAAGAACAGGGTTTCTTATGCCAGAATTTCATTTCTTAAGGGGTGTGATGGTTAATACTGAGTGTCAACTTGATTGGATTGAAGGATGCAAAGTATTGATCCTGGATGTGTCTGTGAGGGTGCTGACAAAGGAGATTAACATTTGAATCAGTGGGTTGGGAAAGGCAAACCAACCCTTAATCTGGGTGGGCACCATCTAATCAGATGCCAGCATGGCTAGAATACAAAGCAGGCAGAAAAATGTGAAAAGACGAGACTGGCCTAACCTCCCAGCCTACATCTTTCTCCCCTGCTGGATGCTTCCTGCTTTTGTACATCGGACTTCAAGTCCTTCAGTTTTGGAACTCGGACTGGCTCTCCTTGCTACTCAGCTTGCAGACGGCCTATTGTGGGACCTGTGATCATGTGAGTTAATACTTCTTAATAAACTTCTATCTATCTATCTATCTATCTATCTATCCATCCATCCCTCCCTCCCTTCCTCCCTCCCTCCCACTAGTTCTGTCTCTCTAGAGAACCCTCTCCAGGGTTCTCCAGAACACAGAGGCTTTCTCACAGTTCTTGCCCAGAAGACTATGCTACCACAGCTCCATGAACAAGCACCATGACGGTATGCTAAATACTCACCACAGATTGGCAGAGTTTTTAACAGCATTGAGTGTTCTTTTTCTGTTAGCTCGATCCCCATGTTGCTCAGCACATGTTTTAAGTTATTAGCGTCAACCTTTTCTCCTTTGAATAGATGGGAATTGTTTCAGAAGAAAATATTAAGAGATTTAATTATTCCAAGTTATAAAAAATGTAATCCAGTACAGCACTATTTCTAATGGCACAATGAGGTATACATATATGAGTTGACTTCACCTTACATAGAGTTATTTTGAGATTCAGTACCTGAAAGCATTCTTTAATCTATAAGCAGATAACACTTCTGATCTGGGTATGGGTCAGGATAACATGGAGCAACAGGGGGGTGGCTCAGGGACTTATGATGTGCTATGGCTTAAATGTTTGTGTCCCTTCCAAAATTCATGTTGAAACTTAACCTCAAATGCAATAGTATTAAGAGGTAGGGCCTTTAGGAAGTGGTTAGGTTGTAGGGGTTCCTCCCTTGTGAATTGGATTAAGGCCCTTAGAAGAGATGTCTCATATAGCAATCAGTCCCTTTTTTTTTTTTTTTTTTTTTGTCTGTCTGCCCTTTCTCATGTGAGGACACAGTGTTTAAAGCACCATCTTGAAGCACAGAGAGACCCTCACTAGACATCAAATGTGCCTTAATCTATCTTGGACTTCTCAGCCTCTAGAACTTTGAGAAAGAAATTTCTATCATTTTTGAATCACCCAGTTTGTGATATTTTTTTTATAGCAGCATGCATGGATTAAGGCAGATGGTATATAGAATCTATGTAATTCTACCTGCAAGTAATATTTCTGTTTCTACTTCATGGGCTGAATTATGGGACTAATTGTTCATAGTGATCACATTTCCTGATGTGAAAACTTCACACTGAGATTCACTGTGTTCACTGATATTTTTGTTCTTTAAACACTAGTGAAATGAACATACTATTGGCCTACACATCAGACAACTTAATACCTCTTTTTAAGAGTACTTACAGTTTTCCTAAATCTTTAATATTCCAAAATGTTGTCAACAAGACAAAATTATCAATAAGTGGTAAAAGAGCAGAATGAACTTATCAATGATTTCTGGAGGGGGTGAACTACTGCTTTAAAAGGTAGTTATCTACAAAGCATCAATATCTCAATTTTATTATGTCTTATATAAATTCCCACTCACCTGTAAAAGCTTTTGCTACATCCATCAAGACATCTAGGTCAAACTTTTCCTTTTCTGTAAGAAAACTCAGCATTTAGATTGAGAGTTGAAGCTACTGAGACTTAAAAAATTATATAAAATCCTTAAATTGAAATTTAGTGAACAGAATTACAGTGATTTTTTAGAATCATTATTCTAGAATTTTTTTTTTTCAATCCAAAGGAGCATCTACTAAAGGGAAAAAGATTCAAGCTTTAAGTATATATTCATTCAACTTAATTGAATACTTACTTTTATTTCATTAACTGTTAGCTGTTAGAAATATTTGGAGTATTATGGTGAGTGATGTTGTGTTTGATTGAAGTTAGCCCTATCCTACAGATCAGTCCTCCTCCTTTCAGACCTAGTTCTCTTGCATTGAGTACAAGGCTGAGATGTGTTAGAGCAAGAGTTCTCAAAGTGTGGTCCATGGACCTCTATATTCACCCAATATCCTTTGCCATTTTCACTGTGTTGACATTTGTGCTGATGGTGCAAAAGCAATGTTGGACAAAACCGCTGGCATCTTTACATGAATGAAGGCAGTGACAACTAAGTGTACTAGCAGTCATTGTGTTCTTCACTGCACATACTTGTAGTAAGATGTAAATTTCACTTAAGGATGTCCTTGGTAAAGCAGCAAAAGTTATTAATTTTTATTAAATAGTAACCCTTGAGTGCATGAAACACTTTTACTGAACTACAACAATTTATTGAGAAAAAGAACTTGTATAATTGTTTGAGTTGCAAGAAAACTAGCTGCATTTTCATGGGATACCATTTTCACTGGAGAAAATGACTAATGGGCAAAATACAGTTTTTCAGAGTTGGATATCTGCCAGACACCTTCTTGAAAATGATCAAAGTAATCCTGTCATTTTAAGGAAAAACCCCAACAACAGATGTTTTAATGGTTGAGTTCAAGATTTAAAACAACAATTTGAATTTTGGAAACCTTATTGTGACTTGATAGTTTCCCAACATGCAAATATTATTTTAATAGGATTGATGGCGATATTAATAAATGTAGTTTCAAACAAGCCAGCATAATAACCAGCTAACACAATGACAGAATCAAATCCACACATCAGTAATAATCCTGAATGTAAATGGGCTAAATGGCCCACTTAAGAGGCATAGAGTGGCAAGCTGGATAAAAAAGCGAGACCCAATAGTATGCTATCCTCCAGAGACCTATATCAAATTTAATGATACCCACAGGCTCAAAACAAAGAGATGGAGAAAAATCTACCAAGCAAATGGAAATCAGGAAAATGTAGGGGTTGCAATTCTAATTTCAGATAAAATGGACTTTAAATCAACAAAGATCAAAAAAGAAGGGCATTACATAACAGTCAAGGGTTTAATTCAACAAGAAGATGTAACTATTCTAAATATATATGCACCCAACACAGGAGTGCCCAGACTCATAAAGGAATTTCTTAGAGACCTACAAAGATATTTAGATTCCTACACAATAATAATGGGAGACTGCAACACTCCACTGACAGAATTAGATCACTGAGGCAGAAAATTATCAAAGATATTCAGGAACTGAACTCAATACTGAACCAAATTAATCTGATAGACTTCTACAGAACTCTCTACAGAAGTTCTCTACAGAACTCCCAAAACAACATAATGTACATTCTTCTCATTGCCACATGGCACATACTCTAAAATTGACCACGTAATTGGACATAAAACAATTCTCAGCAAATAAAAAAGAACTTAAATACCAAACAACAGTGTAATAAAAATGGAGGTCAAGAATAAGAAAATTGCTCAAACCATATAATTACGTGGAAACTAAATAACATGCTCCTGAATGACTTTTGGATAAATAATAAAATAAAGGCAGAAATCAGTAAGTTCTTTGAAACTAATAAGAATAAAGATACAACATACCAGAATCTCTAGAACACAGCTAAGGTAGTGTTAAGAGGAAAATTCATAGCACTAACCACCCACATCAAAAAGTTAGAAAGATCTTAAATTAACAACTTAACATTACAACTGAAAGAATTAGAGAAGCAAGAGCAAGTAGACCCCAAACCTAGCAGAAGATAAGAAATAACCAAAATCAGAGCTGTACTGAAGGAAACTGAGACTCTAAAAACCATTCAAAACATCAACAAAACCAGGAGTTTTTTTTTTTTTTTTTTGGAAAAAATTTAAAAGGCCACTGGCTAGACTAATAAAGAAGGGAAAGATGATCTAAATAAACATAATCAGAAGTGACAAAAGGGGGTGTTATCACTGACCCCAAAGAAATAAAAACAACCATCAGAAACTATAAACATGTCTATGCATACAAACTAGAAAACCTAGAAGAGATGGATAAATTCCTGAACACATATATCCTCCCAAAACTGAACCAGGAAGAAATTGATTCCCTGAACAGACAAATAATGAGCTCTGAAATTGAATCAGTAAATAGCCTACCAACCTACCAAAAAGAAGCCCAGGACCAGAGGAATTCATAGCTGAATTCTACTAGATGTACAAAGAAGAGCTGATACTATTCCTACTGAAACTATTCCAAAAAATTGAGGCTGCATCTAGTCATCCATCTTGAAAAAGAAATTGATTCTGACTCCTTGATTATTTTAGGTTAATGGTCCTTAGTCCCCATTAACCCATCTCCTAGCTTCTGAGTATCCTGGCATCTTCCCTATGGATCTCCTAATTCCTGCAGGTCACAGAAGACAGGGGCTGTGGCAGAGTCACCTGGGCCTCCCTGAGTGGAGAGCACAGAGCGGTGAAGAGTGAAACTAAGCTCAGTTTGTGGGTACAAGGAGACAAAGGCCCTGCCACATCCCTGAAGGCATATTGTTATTTTTAAAGGGAATTAATATAAGTATTATTAAATATAGTTAGTTTCTAATATAATAAATATTAATAGATACCCACAAAAACAGCATGAAGAAGTTTAAAAAAACTATTGATTGATTGATTGATTTTTAACAATGGTATCTCTCTATGTTGCTTAGGCTGGTCTCAAACTCCTGGGTTCAAGAAATCCTCCTATCTCGGCCTCCTAAAGTAGGAGGATTACAGACATGAGCCACTGTGCCTAGCCACATAAAGAATTTTTGAGGCCAAAAAGTTTGAGAACCCCTAGGTTAGAGAGTACATGCAATAATAGACAATATTCAGTTTGCTTGTTGTTTCCTTAACCAACTTCAGTGCTATTTATCATTTAGCCTAGAAGATTCTGATTCCCTACGTTTCCTAGTTCTCTTGTATTTTCCCAAGACCATAGGCTCCTCTGAGGTCAGATGCCCTTGCACCCCTAACAATTCTTAGTTTCTAGTAAATACATTACCCAGCTATAGTAAAAACATTTGCCAAGTAAATACAGTAGTGTTAATACAATGCTGACATATTTTTGGCATTTAATAAATATTTGTTGAATGAATCAATAAAAGAAAAAAATGTATTCAAAAATTAGGACCTTGATCCTTGAATAATGAAGTCCTGCCTTAGTAAAAGATAATTTTTCTAGCCCTTGGGGTTCCATGCTGTTATAAACTTGAAGCCAGACCCTCATGCCAGTGAAGATTCTTGGTGGTCTGCATCCTTACTAATGTTAGTTACCAAGCTCAGTTGAAGAAAGAAGAGACTCCTCTCCTCTTTCTCTTCAGAGTCTTTTCAACACAGTCCTAATACTATCACAGTTATTATTATTATTTTTTATAAAAAAGATTGGTTAAGCTGAAAATGGTGAGTTCCCAAAGTGTGACAGGGGAAAAAGTCTGCCTCAAAACACACATCCCCTCTGGGGAACCTGAAAATCCAGATCACAGGAGAAGGACTTAACCTTACCTAGAGCTGAAATGGATTTAGGGAGCCAAGTAGAATATAAAAATAGAACAAGCAGTGGGAAGAATCCTGTAGGCACTTCTAGTCCCCAGCTTGAGCCCAAGGAAGCCATTACTGGCCTTATCTCACAGGGGTTCTTGGGGAGGGCAGCCAGTGGAATTGGGGAGGGGCCACAGGGTGAAGGAAACTCCTAGTTGAACTTTGTAATAATTTTAACTGAGCATCAATTTTTCTGAGCAGAATCCAGTGGGGAGCAAATGGAAAGTACAGATAGGAGTACAGAAAACACAGCTGATGGTCTGGGCAGGTGGGGAAGGGTGAGGTCTGAGAGCCTAATTGCTTTCTCAGTGGGGAGGCTTATAGCCTGGGGCAAGATCTCAGCCCTGCTGCCACTGAGATCTCAAAGTTTGGAAAACATATTTGAGGGAATAATTGAGGAAAACTTCCGTGGCCTTGTTAGAGATCCAGACATTCAAATACAAGAAGTTCACCTAGGAAATTTATTGCAAAATGGTCATCACCTAGGCACACAGTCATCAGGTAATCCAAAGTTAAGATGAAGGAAAGAATCTTAAGAGCTGTGAGGCAAAAGTACCAGGTAACCTATAAAGGAAAACCTATGAGATTAACAGTATATTTCTCAGCAGAAACCCTATGAGCTAGAAGGAACTGGGGCCCTATCTTTAGCCTCCCTAAACTAAACAATTATCAGTCAAGAATTTTATATACAGCAAAACTAATTTCCATAAATAAAGGAAAGATACAGTCTTCTTCAGACAAATGCTTTGAGAATTCACCACTACCAAGCCAGCACTACAAGAACTGCTAAAAGGAGCTCTAAATCTTGAAACAAATCTTCAAAATATACCAAAATAGAACATCCTTAAAGCATAAAGCTCACAGGACCTATAAAACAATGATACAATAAATAAATAAATAACCACACATGGTAATCAGACAACAAATAGCATGATGAATAGAATGGTATCTCACATCTCAACACCAATGTTGAATGCAAATGACCTAAATGCTCCACTTAAAAGATACAGAATGGCAGAATGGATAAGAATTCATCAACCAAGTATCTGCTGCCTTCAGGAGACTCACCACATAAGGACTCATATAAGATAAGAGGTGGAAAAAGATATTCCATGCAAATGGACAACAAAACTGAGCAGGAGTAGCTATTCTTACATCAGACTAAACAAACTTTAAATCAATAGCAGTTAAAAAAGACAAAGAGGGGTATTATATAATGATAAAAGGACTTGTCTAGGAAAATATTACAATCCTAAATATATATGCATCTAACACTGGAGTTTCCAAATTTATAAAACAATTACTAATAGACCTAAGAAATGAGACAGCAACACAGTAATAAAGGGGGACTTCAGTACTCCACTGACAGCACTAGATGGGTCATCAAGACAGAAAGTCAACAAAGAAACAATGGATTTGTCATGTTTATATTCTAACCAAATGGGTCATGTGATTCTAATTTGCAGGATAAGGCATATTTTGTACATAAAAAAAGTAACGATGGATTTAAACTATATCCTAGAACAAATGGATTTAACATATTTACAGAACATTCTACCCAATAACTGCAGAATATACATTCTATTCATCAGCATATGGAACATTCTCCAAGACAGAACACATGATAGGCCATAAAACAAATCTCAACAAATTTAAGAACATTAAAGTAATAGCAAGTACTCTCTGACACCCTAGTGGAATAAAATTGGAAATAAATTCCAAAAAAGGTTTGATGCAAATACATGGAAATTAAATAACCTGTTCCTGAATGATTGTTGGATAAACAATAAAATCAAGATGAAAATTTAAAAAGTCTTTGAACTGAATGATAATAGTGACATAACCTATCAAATCCTCTGGGATACAGAAAAGGCGATGCTAACAGGAAAGTTCATAGCCTTAAATGTCTACATCAAAAAGTCTGAAGGAGCACAAATAGAAAATCTAAGGACATATTTCAAGGAACTAGAGAAACAAGAACAAAACAAACCCAAATCAAGCATAAGAAATAACCAAGATCAGAGCAGAACTAAATGAAATTAAAACAAAAAAAAATACAAAAGAATTATGAAACAAAAAGCTGGTTCTTTGAAAAGATAAATAAAATTGATAGACCATTAGTGATATTAACCAAGAAAAGAAGAGAGAAGATCCAAATAAGCTCAATTAGAAACAAAATAGGAGCTATTACAGCTGATACCACAGAAATACAAAAGGTCATTCAAGGCTGTTATGAACACCTTTACATGAATAAACTAGAAAACCTAGAGGAGATGGTTAAATTTCTGGAAATATACAACCCTCTTAGATTAAGCCAGAAAGAAATAGAAACTCTAAACAGACCAGCAACAAGCAGCAAAATTGAAATGGTGCTAAAAAATTGCTAACAAAATAAAAGTCCAGAATCAGAGGGATTCACAGCTGAATTCTATCAGAAATTCAAAGAATTGGTACCAATCTCATTAACACTATTTCACAAGATACAGAAAGAGGGATTCCTCCCTAAATCATTCTATGAAGCCAGTATCACCCTAACACCAAAACCAGGAGAAGACATAACCAAAAAAGAAAACTATAGACCAATATCCCTGTTGAACATGGATGCAAAAGTCTTTAACAAAATACTACACTAGCTAACTGAATCCAACAACATATCAAAAAGATAATCCATCATGATCAGGTGAATTTCATATCAGGGATGCAGGGATGATTTAACACATGCAAGTCAATAAATGCTATACACCACATAAACAGAATTAAAAACAAAAATCACATTCTCATCTCAATAGATGCAGAAAAAGCTTTTGACAAAATCCAGCATCTCTTTATGATGAAAACTCTCAGCAAAATCAGCATACAAGAAACATACCTCAATGTAATAAAAGCGATCTATGACAAACTTACAGCCAACATAATACTAAATGGGGAAAAATTGAAAGCATTCCCTCTGATAGCTGAAACAAGATAAGGATGGCTACTCTCACCTTTTCTCTTCAACATAGTATTAGAAGTCCTAGCCAGAGCAATCCGACAAGAGAAAGAAATAAAGGGCATCCAAATCGACAAAGAGGAAGTCATACTGTTGCTGTTTGCTGATGATATGATTGTCTACTTAGAAAACCATAAAGACTCCTCCAGAGAGCTTCTAAAACTGGTAAAATAATTCAGCAGTTTCCAGATACAAAATTAATGTATATAAATCAATAGCTCGCCTATACACCAACAGCGATTAAGCTGAGAATCAAACCAAGAACTCAACCTCTTTTACAATAGCTGCAAAAAACAAAAACAAAAACAACAAAAAAACTTAGGAATATACCTAACCAAGGAGGTTAAAGAACTCTACAAGGAAAACTACAAAACACTGCTAAAAGAAATGATAGAAGATACAAACAAATGGAAACACATCCCATGCTCGTGGATGGGTACATTCAATATTGTGAAAATGACCACACTGCCAAAATCAATCTGCAAATTCAATGCAATTCCTATCAAAATAACACCATCATTCTTCACAGAACTAGGAGAAACAATCCTAAACTTCATATGGAACCAAAAAAGAGTCTGCATAGCCAAAGAAAGATTAAGCAAAAATAACAAATCTGGAGACATCACATTACCTGATTTCAAACTATACTATAAGGCCATAGACACCAAAACAACATGGTACTGGTATAAAAATCGTCATGTAGACCAATGGAATAGAATAGAGAACCCAGAAATAAACCCAAATACTTGCAACCAACTGATCTTCAACAAAGCAAACAAACACATAAAGAGAGAGGTCAGGCATGGTGGTTCACGCTGTAATCCCAGCACTTTAGGAGGCCAAGGCAGGGAAATCACTTGAGGCCAGGAGTCTGGCCAACGTAGTAAAATCCCATCTTTACAAAACACCAAACCAAAACAAAAAAACAAAAAACATAAAGTGGGGAAAGGGCACCCTATTCAACAAATGGTGCTATGAAAATTGAGAAGCTACATGTAGGAGAATAAAACTGGGTCCTTATCTCTCACCTTATTCAAAAATCAACTCAAGATGGATCAAAGACTTAAATCTAAGACCTGAATCCATAAAATTCTAGAAGATGATACTGGAAAAACTCTTCTAGACATTGGCTTAGGGAAAGACTTTATGACCAAGAACCTGAAAACAAATGCAATGAAAAGAAAGATAAATAGATGAGACTTAAACTAAAAAGCTTCTGCACAGCAAGAGAAATAATAAGCAGAGCAAACAGACAACTCATAGAGTGGGAGAAAATCTTTGCAACAAAGGCCTACTATCCAGGATCTATAAGGAACTCAAATAAATCAGCAAGAAAAAAACCCCAAATAATCCCATCAACAAGTGGTCAAAGGACATGAATACTTAATTTTCAAAAGAAGATATACAAATGGCCAACAAATATATGAAAAAATGCTGAGCATCACTAATGATCAGGGAAATGCAAATGAAAACCTCAATGTGATACCACCTTACTCATGTGAGAATGGCCAAAATAAAAAAATAAAAAAATAATAGATGTTGGTGTGGATGTGGTAAAAAGGGAACACTTTTACACTGCTGGTGGGAATGAAAACTAGTATAACCACTATGGAAAACAGTATGGAGACTCCTTAAAGAACTAAAAGTAGACCTACCATTTGATCTAGTAATCCCACTACTGGGTATCTACCCAGAGGAAAAGAAATCATTATATGAAAAAGATACATGAACATGCATGTTTATAGCAGCACCATTTACAATTGCAAAAATGTGGAACCAGCCTAAATGCCCATCAACCAACAAGTGGATAAAGACAATCTGGCATATATATACCATGGAATACTACTCAGCCATAAAAAGGATGAAATAATGGCATTCACAGCAACCTGGATTGAGCTGGAGACCATTATTCTAAGTGAAGTAACTCAGGAATGGAAAATCAAACATTGTATGTTCTCATTTATAAGTGGGAGCCAACCTATGAGGATGCAAAGGCATAAGAACGATATATTGGACTCTGCGGACTCAGGGAGAAGGTTAGAAAGGGGGTGAGGGATAAGACTACACATTGAGTACAGTGTACATTGCTCGGGTAATAGGTGCACCAAAATCTCAGAAATCACCACTAAAGAACTTATCCACGTAACCAAATACCACCTGTTCCCCCAAAACTATTGAAATAATAAAAATTTATATATATATAAATATTGAAAAAAGGAGATTGGTTTATATCCTGATGGATATATCTTTTCATCATCTCTTCCTACCCTTTTTCTTTCCTCTTACCCTCCCCTCATCTCTGTTATCTCTTTCTTCCTTATCCTACTCTTTTATCCTATTCTTTACCTCTCAAATATTCCTTTATTTTATCTTTCCATTCTTTTGGTATTCTTGTCCTCACAGAGACACTCTGAGACACTGTTTTAACCCTGGTGATGATTCTCATGGTTTGATATACCTGATTTAAAGATGAATAACACTAATAATAAGGGAATGCATTTTCAATTATCTGATACTGAGTGTCCTGTAAGCACCTCAATTCAACTATATTCCAAATATTTTTCTTCTCTTCATTCTTCTCTCTCTGCTATCCTTCTCCCTGTTTTTAAAAACTGTTTTTTGGCATTCATGTAAGTGATAAACTTCTGGTTCACAGTTTAATATCTCCCTCCCTTTTACTCACATCAAATCAGTCTTCCCTATATGTGTGTGGTTCCCAGGTAAGGCCCTTTTCACCTGTACCTTATTAACAGTCTCTTAAATTGTAACTCTGTCCCCAGGTTTTCTCTCTCCAACATGTCCTTACTCTTTGCTTTCGCAGTGGACTACTCATTATCTACAGGATAAAGGTGTCTTAAATGCTCACCAGTCACTGGCAGGTGAGTCTTCAGGTCCTTGATTTCTTTTTCTTCAAGTCTGAACCCAGTGTTTTGTAGAACACTCTGTAAGTCATTGACATTAACCTGACCTCCTTAATAGAAAGAAGAAAAAGTAGATAAGGATGTCATAAAATGAAAAATGCACACTCTCAACCCCTACTCAGAAATGAAAAGAAGAAAGAAGCTATTTACAGTATCATGTGGGAGTCAGGAACAGAATATGCTTCCAAAATTAAACTTCTTGGAGGTTTATATTGGGGAGAAGTAAAGACTTTGGCATTTCTGATGAATTAGACAGAGATGACAACCAAATCATGTTATTCTGTCAAAAAGCAAGATTTGAAACTTGCTACAGTAATAATAAATTATCTCCCAAATGTAATTGTACATAAAGGAAGACTACAGTTAATAGGGAAAATTTACTGAAAACTATTGGTGTAGTTTTGATCGGATCACTCTGAAATATGGGGATTTAAAAAGAATCAAAATGTATTTTGGATAAATTAAATGTAAATAGTGAAATCACAGAAAAATGATGAGAACTAAGTATATGTGACTCTTCACGTAAAGGATTTGAAAGTTAATCACAGAAGAAATGACTGGTAAAACTAAATACATAAAAATGAAAAATGGTGATATACCAAAATACAACATAATAGATAAAAAGTAGATTTGTAGTTGCCTAGGTCTGAGAGAGTTGGGGAGCATAAGTAGTGACTACTAATGGGTGTTGAGTTTCTTTTTGCAGTGCTGAAATATCCTAAAACTGATTGTGGTGATACCACACAACTCTGTTAGTATACCAAAACCCACTGAATTATACACTTTAAGTGGGTGAATTGTATGGTATATGAACTATATCTCAATAAAGCTGTTGTAAAAATACAATAAAATTAAATGCAGATAACCAATATTTACAATAGATATGACAATGTGCTAATATTTAATCTATAAAGAGTTCATTCAAATTAATAAAAACAATGTATGGATTCTAATAGATTAAAAGATATAATGATATAAAAACATTTTCTCTTTTGAAAACACTTTTTAATTTATTAACTTTTTTTTTTTTTTTTTTTGAGATGAAGTCTCACTCTGTCACCCAAGCTGGAGTTTAATGGTGCGATTGTGGCTCACTGCAACCTTTGCCTCTGGGTTCCGGCGATTCTGCTGCCTCAGCCTCCTGAGTAGCTGGAACTACAGGCGCATGCCATCACACATGCCACCACACCTGGCTAATTTTTGTATTTTTAGTAGAGACGGCGTTTCACCAGAGGCTGGTCTTGAACTCCTGACCCGTGATCTACCTGCCTCGGCTTCCCAAAGTGCTGGGATTAAAGGCATGAACCACCGCGCCTGGTTTAAATTTTTTCTTGCTCTGTCTTATGGTGCTGATCAAAATTTTCTATAAGTAATTTTATGTATAATTTTGTTCTCTAAGTAGATTATAAACTCTTTGAAAGTAAGAACTATTGGCTGGGTGTGGTGGCTTATGCCGGTAATCCCAGCACTTTGGAAGGCCAAGGCAGGCAGATCACCTGAGGTTGGGAGTTCTAGACCAGGCTGACCAACATGGAGAAAACTGTCTCTACTAAAAATGTAAAATGTGCCATGGTGGCACATGCCTGTAATCCCAGCTGCTTGGGAGGATGAGGCAGCAGAATCGTTTGAACCTGGGAGGTGGAGGTTGTCGTGAGCCAAGATCAAGCCATTGTACTTTACCTGGGTAACAAGAGTGAAACTCCATCTCAAAAAAAAAAAAAAAAAGTAAGAATTATCTTTTTTTTTTTTTTTTTTTGAGACGGAGTTTCGCTCTTGTTACCCAGGCTGGAGTGCAATGGCGCGATCTCGGCTCACCGCAACCTCCGCCTCCTGGGTTCAGGCAATTCTCCTGCCTCAGCCTCCTGAGTAGCTGGGATTACAGGCACGCGCCACCATGCCCAGCTAATTTTTTGTATTTTTAGTAGAGACGGGGTTTCACCGTGTTGACCAGGATGGTCTCGATCTCTTGACCTCGTGATCCACCCGCCTCGGCCTCCCAAAGTGCTGGGATTACAGGCTTGAGCCACCGCGCCCGGCCAAAGTAAGAATTATCTTCTACTTTTTGCAGCCCCTCCCCCATCACACTTCTAACACTATGCCAGTCATCAATTCCAAGCTAATATTTGATGAATGAAAAAATCCTCAAAATAAACTTTATTTTCCATTAAAGAGTAAACAACTGCTATCCTTGTGAGAATTTCATAATTTAAATATAAAACAATTGATACGGTTTGGCTGTGTCCCTACTCAAATCTCCTGTTGAATTCCCATTACTGTGGGGGGGACCTGGTGGGAAGTAACTGAATCATGGTGCCAGGTTTTTCTCATGCTGTTTTTGTGATAGTGAATAAGACTCACAAGATCTGATGGTTTTATAAGGGGCAGTTTCCCTGTACAAGCTCTCTCTCTTTGCCTGCCACCATCCATGTAAGATGTGACTTGCTCCTCCTTGCCTTCCAACATGATTGTGAAGCCTCCCAAGCCATGTGGAACTATAAGTCCACTAAGCCTCTTTCTTTTCTAAATTGCCCAGTCTCAGATATATCTTTATCAGCATCATGAAAATGGACTAATACAACAAAATAAAGCTGATTTAAAAATTGTTTTTATTTTAATATATTTTTTGAGACAGGGTCTGACTCTGCAATCCAGGCTCACTACAGCCTCAAACTCCTGGGCTCAAGTTATTCTCCTGCCTCAGCCTCCTGAGTAGCTGGAACCACAGGCATGTATCACCAATATAAAAACATTTTATTAGATTCAATTTTTTCACCCACCAAATTAACAAGAATAAAATATATGAAAATAATATACTGTGGTTAGGGCATGATGTTAATACTATGTATGGGGATGCAAATTTCTGCAGGAAGAATATGTCCAAAGAAAATGACTTTAAAGTTGGATCAAAATTTAAGTATGAAGATCAGAGACATATAAGAGAAAAACACTAAATAAATGTTCAACAAGAGAATAATGATTAAGTAAATTATAATATAACTAGATGATTTAGTCATTAAAATGATATTTACAAAGAAATTTTAAATAACATGGTGAAATTATTACACTAAAATTTTAGGATTGAATGCAGGATACATAACATTTCCAGTAAGAGTTTAATTAATAATACACATAAATGCACAGAAAAGGATCAGAGACATCTATAATAGAAAAGGTAATATTACTTGAGATTGTGGGTAATTACATTTTTTTCTGTATGCTACTGTATATTCCAGATTATTCTTAAATGTCTCAAGTAGCTAGTAGACACTTGAATATTTGTTGAATAAAATCCATAATTTTCTGTTTGTTTATGTAATTAGAAAAAAAATTAGAATAATCTCAAATGTTATTGTCTTTATCCTTTTCCTCACTCACCTCTGAAGGATTTCACACCATCCAATAATTCCTTCTTAAACACTTTTTTATCAGCTGTAGGATAAAACATGATTAATAATGTTTCCAGAGATTCATAAAAATTAAAATATATACTTATAGGAAGGGAAAGCTTAGAAATTTGTTAGAATTCAATCTCAATGAAATGAAAGATGCTTGGAAAACTTAGTGTAGTGAACTTATCCACTGGATAGAATACAAACTATTGTTAGCAGTGCCCTACCATGCTGAACTACATATAGCCTTTTCTTTCTTGTTTCCTTCTCCCTAATTTACCTTTGTCTTTTCTTTCTTCACCTTTTCTACACCTTCTGCTCTTACCTTTTTTCAATTTATACCTTAAGTCTTATATTTCTCCTAGGGGGACCAAAGAAATTGTCTTATGATAGAACTTTTAACTGAAGAGGTTCCTGTTTCCTAAACCAACATAATAATAACAGGATTTTTAGAAATGCTGGGACTGGGACTTTTAAAAATATTTTTAATTGACACAACTGTTTCAAATACTAGACTTTCTAATACAAAACATTGAAACCAACCTCTTTGATGTTTTCAGGAGGGTAAGTACTTGGGGAAACAAGCATGGTCCCTGCTCTCTCAGATTTTAGATAGTGCCATGCAGACAATGATCTTCAATAAGTGTTGAATGAATATATTTTTAGACATCAGTGAAGCAGAACACATGTAAATGCTTACCAGAAACTGGCAGAGTTTTCAGCAGCTTTTTGTGCTCCTTATTTGTGATCTCTATTCCCATGTTTTCCACAGTATTTTTCACATCCCCAGCAGGAATCTTCTCTCCTTTAAGGGAGAGAAATAGTCATAGGTGAGAATATAAAAATTATGTCATATTTTATATTATAATATTATAATTATGCATTAGTCCATTTTCATGCTGCTGATAAAGACATACCTGAGATTGGGAAGAAAAAGAGGTTTAATTGGACTTACAGTTCCACATGGCTGGGGAGGCCTCAGAATCATGGTGGGAGGCAACAGGCACTTGTTACATGGTGGTGGCAAGAGAAAATGAGGAAGAAGCAAAAGCAAAAATCCCTGATAAACCTGTCTCATCTTCTGAGACTTATTCACTGTCATGAGAATATCATGGGAAAGACTGGGCCCTATGATTCAATTACCACCCCCTGGTTCCCTCCCACAACATGTGGGAATTCTGAGAGATACAATTCAAGTTGAGGTTTGGGTAGGGATACAGCCAAACTATATCAAATTATGTACAACATTATATGTAATTATAATTAACATAATAGATGTAATTATGATTATATAACATTATAACTACATATAATATAATGCTATGTAACATACATATATACCTGTGTTTGTATGTATAACTAGTGGAAATGTTGTGTTTCCTGCATTTAATCCATACATATATACATTATATATATACACATTATATATATACACACATAATATACGTATATATGTATATATATACACATAATATATATGTATATATGTATATATATACACATAACATATATATAATATATGTATATATATACACATAATATATATGTATATATGTATATATATACACATAACATATATATAATATATGTATATGCATACATAATATATGTATATATATGTATATGCATACATAATATATGTATATATATGTATATACATACATATGTGTATAGATATGTATACACACACACACACACACACACACACACACACACACATATATATAGTCCTCAGCTGCTGGGGGAAGAGCAAAGCACAATAAAAGCTTGCTTAGCTATTTATTTATTTATTTATTTATTTTCAGACAAGTTCTCACTCTGCCATCCTGGCTGGAATGCAGTGGCACGATCATGGCTCACTGCAGCCTTGACCTCCTGGGCTTAAGCAATCCTCCCACCTCAGCCCCTCAGAGTAGCTGGGACTATAGGCATGCGACAGCATGTGGGGTTTATTTTCTGTATTTTTTTAGAGATAGGATCTTCCTATGTTGCCCAGGCTGGTCTTGAACTCCTGGGCTCAAGCAATCTGCCTGGCTCAGCCTCCCAAAGTGCTAGGGTTGCAGGCGTAAGCCACTGCACCAGCCATTGTTCAGCCATTTAGAGTTAAGGAGAGGAGTCAGAAATTTTTCTTTTAAGCTAAGTAAAATAAAATCTCTTACAATGATGAAACAATATAATAAGTAAAATAGAAACTGTACAGTTTTTCAATAATTTGGGATCTGTTTCATGGTTAATATAAATAATTTGACTACTACAAGAACACCTCTATTTTAAATTTTCTTTTTCTTCTTCTTTTAAGTCCTCCCTATCCCCTTCCCTCTTGTTTTTTTGCCTGAATTATGGGGTAAGTTAAAAATGACAATAAAATCTGACTCCCTGTAATAGATTTCACCTCAAGTGAATTTACATTTATATAATTACATTGTAAACTTGGGAAGGCAGGGATCATGTCTTTCTCCCAAAATCTAGCATAATGCCTGGCACATAGCCAACAATCAACTAAATGTAGAATGAGTTACTTAATTGCTTGAACATCAGCAAAGCAAAACACATTACTGATTGATTGAAACCTCAGATAGTTCACTCACTTGTTCATTACTGAGTGTTTACTATGTGAAGAAAACAAAATTTTTGAAGGGGTAAAACTGACATTTAAACTACTCAATATATAAAACATAATTAGGCCAGGCGCAGTGGCTCATGCCTGTAATCCCACCACTTTGGGAGGCTGAGGTGGGCAGATCACTTGAGGTCAGGAGTTTGAGACTAGCCTGGCCAACATGGTAAAACCCTGGCTCTACTAAAAATACAAAAATTAGCTGGGTGTGGTGGCATGTGCTTGTAATTCCAGCTACTCAGGAGGCTGAGGAAGGAGAATCACTTGAACCTGGGAGGCGAAGGTTACTGTGAGCAGAGGCTGGGCCACTGCACACCAGGCTGGGTGATGGCATGAGAATCTGTCTCAAAAAAATAAAAATCATAATTAACAAGCAAGACTATGACTTTTTTGGCAAATATTATTGCAACGTTTGCTAAAATTGATCATATTTTAAGACAAAAATTTAAATATCAATTAATTACTCAAAGGCACAAAGTATATCAGTTATACTCTAATTATAATTTAAAATCAACCACAGAAAGAGATTTAAGAAATCCTCTCTACTCAGAAATTATAAATAAAATACTATAAATAACTGCTGAGTTAAAGAAGTTGAAACTGAGATTACAAACTACTTAGAAATTATGAACACAACTTCTGTTTCCAACAAAACAATAGAGTAGGACATCCTACTTGCTACAAATATCTAAAATGGATTTAAAAAATGACAAAATAATTGTAGATGCATGGCTGAGTTTGTAGGTAAGAAAGAGAAATTTTTGGTTTCAGGAGATGGAGAGGGGTTTAAGAGTCAGTTTGCTATGTACTCAATTTTCTCTCTTTCTTTCTTTCTTTTTTTTTCTTAAACTTTCCTCTGGTGCTAAGATATGTACTCAATCTGATGTGGAGATAACCCTGGTGGATTATCTGACCAGATCTGGGAACAGCTTTGGTTTTAATGACCAAGCAGGAGGAGGGAGATAAGTCCTTGGGCACATGATAGGGACACAGATTTGAAACACTCCATTATTTAAACTCCATTAAAGAGGCTGAGTGTGGTGGCTCACATCTGTAATCCCAGCCCATTGGGAGGCTGAGGCAGGTGGATCACCTGAAGCCAGGAGTTCAAGACTAGCCTGGCCAACACTGTGAAAACCTGTCTCTACTAAAGAAAAAAAATTGGGTGTGGTGGTACATGCCTGTAATCTCAGCTACTTGGGCGCCTGAGGCACAAGAATCACTTGAACTAAGGAGGTAGAGGTCAAAGTGAGCTGAGATCACGCCACTGCACTCCAGCCTGGTGACACAATGAGACACTGCCTCAAATAAATAAATAAATGAAATTAAATAAAACCCACTAAAGAGAAAGAAAGGGCAAGTATAGAACCATAAGAATAAGAAATCGAGGAAAAGAACTGGCTAATGTGCGAAAGATCTAAAACAATATCTAGAAATAAAAAGTTGTTATTGGCATTTTTTTTTTGAGATGGAGTCTTGCTCTGTCACCCAGGCCGGAGCGCAGTGGTGTGATCTTGGCTCACTGCAACCTCTGCCTCCCAGGTTCAAGTGATTCTCCTGTCTTAGCCTTCTGAGTAGCTGGGATTACAGGCACCTACCACCATGCCCAGCTAATTTTTGTATTTTTAGTAGAGACAGAGTTTCACCATGTTGGTCAGGCTAGTCTTGAACTGCTGACCTCGTGATCCACCTGCCTCGGCCTCTCAAAGTGCTGGGATTATAGGCATGAGCCACGGTGCCCGGATGTGTTTTTGGCATCTTCAATAAACAGTGTGAGATGGAGTTGGGGAGACAATTAGTGAACTGGAAGAGAGATTTGAGAAATTCTAAAAATTAGGACAAAGATATAAAAAGTGGAAACTATGGAAAAAAGAAAGAGCGAATAAGGTCCATCATATACATAATGGGAGCTTCCAAAAGTAAAAGAAAAAGAGAAGAGGAAATATTTGAAACATAAAAGCTGAGAATTTTCAATAATTGAAGAAAGGCATGAATTTTTAGTTTCAGAAATCACAAGTCTTGAGCAGAAAAAATGAAAAGAAGTCTAACTTGGAGACATTATAATGAAAACTTCAAAAACAGAGATAACATAGCTCAGAGATAGTATGACTGTCTCCCAGAGATGGGCTGTTAGAACTTTGTTTCTCCTTATTTTGTGGAGAGGCTGAGAAAGAATATCTTCATTTATGTGAAGAATAGTTGCATCTTATTAGGTAAAAACAGAGTTACTATGTTGATAAATAGAAGTTCAAATATATGTCAAAGGATTGTAGCTGAGTAGCTGAAAGAGTGTTCTTCCAGCTACTTAGTTATTGTCTCTCAGCTCCAATCCTACCCTTCTATGCTTAGTTTTATGATACTGAGACTCTGTAAACTATGTTTCTGGCTCCATGTTAAATTCTGCCAACAGGAAGTGCTAGAGGGAGTCTGAAAGGCCGGAAGATGAAGTTCCTTCCTGCAGTAGTGGTTGAATCCAGTTTTCAGTTTTTCAACCTTGTGGAACCAGCTTTATTACACTCTCCTTAGGGACAGACACTAGCATCAGTTTCTAGAGTTCTAAGATAAAATGACAATCTACAAGTCTAGATTCAGCCAAACTATGATTCAAAGATGAATGTAAAATAAACATACTTGTAGACAAAGGCTGGCTTTTGTTGATATCACTAAGCAGGATGAGCCCCCAAAGGACTAGGAAGTTGAAAAGCATCAGTGAGTAAGGAAAGCTTTAAGTGTATTTACATCTTGCAGAGGATCGGCTTTAAGTTACTCTGCTCTTGCTTATTATATACTCAGTTGACAAAACCCCATTCCTGGTTAAATGCAAGTCTCTACTACTCTGTGCCTGCAGCTATTTAGCTAATTAGAGCTAAAGGAAGTATGCTGACTGCCCTCACTTTACGTTGATGATCATGAACTTCGAGTGGGTCTTTAATGTCCTGGGGCAATCATACTATACTTTGCTGGTTCCTTAATTTTCCTACTCTTCTTTGTGACTGCTTCACACCTTCTTTCCTCTTTTCAAACCAGTTTCCTCTTCTTTCTTGCACCACTACACCTGGCTAATGTTTGTATTTTTAGTAGAGATGGGGTTTCACCACATTGGCCAGGCTGGTCTCGAACTCCTGACCTCAGGTAATCTGCCTGCCTTGGCCTCCCAAAGTGCTGGGATTACAGATGTAAGCCACCGTGCCCAGACTCCCTATTACTTTTTTACTTGGTTACTCAGCTTCAGCTACCTGACCTTCTTCTTGTTCTTTGAATACACCAGGCATGCTCCTGCCTTTGGTCCTTTGTCTTTAATTAAAAAAAGAAGCCTTCTCTTGCCACCATTTTAACCACTTTATTTATCCCCTTATTCCACTTTGCCCTCTTTTGTAGTGAAACACCTTAGATATTCACAGAGTTTCTAAATCCTATGTTCCTATTATTTCAAACTCATTCCACTTAGGCTTCTTTCCATCCTCACTTCCTGAATTTTCTCTTTTGGATAGCACAAGTGACTTCCATCTGGCTATACGCAATCGTCAGTTCTCGGTTCTCATGTTACTTGGCATTTGACGGTTGATTTGCCCTCTTGTCTGGTAACTGTAGCAGATGCTATAGATGCCCTGCTCATATCCCCTCATATCAATATATGCTTGTCCACTTCCCTTACTAGTATCTCTTTGTCTGAGGGATTTCTTCAGCTGCCAGAGTTCACTCTGCCTATGCTCAGATGGCTAGAAATGCCAGCAGAGTAATACTGCTTTCCCCTCCCCTAAGCAGTTCTTAATCAATGACTGATATGAGTTGGTGTGAAAATAACCTGGTTCTATAACCCCTCCCTTGAGGCCATGTCATTTACCAGATGTTATTCCCCAGTGTGATTAAGCTTCAGTTACCTGCTATGGTAACTTGTTTGATAAACACTTAATTGTCTGTTTTTATCTATGTCTCATTTCTCTGCTTCCCTGAGCTCACTACCCAAGCAAACTACCTGTATATGTAATCCTCGTTTCAGAGTTTATTTTCTAGGGATAACCAACTTGATTTAATATTCCTCATCTGGTTTTCAGGGCACTATATTATCTTGGTTTTCCACCTACATCACTGGCTATTCCTCATCTTCTTTGCTTTAGGACCTCTTAATATGAAGTACTCCAGGTTTCATTCTGTAGTCCTCTTCTCTTCTTCACTTATCCCTGAGTGAATTCATTCAATCTCATGGCTTTAAATACCATCTATATGCCTATGACTTTCAATTTTATATTTTTTACCCAAGATGTATTTCTTGAATTTGAGTCTGTTTAGTAAGTTTGTACTTGACATCTGCATTTGGAGGTCTATTAGTTATCTCAAAATGTCCCAAATTGGATTCCTAATTTCTTCCACCCAAACTTGTACTACTGGTAACTTTTTTTGATCTCAGTTAATGGCAAGACTATCCTTTTAGTTAGTTGTTCAAGACAAAAATGTTAGAATCATTCTTTACTTCTCCCTTTATCTGGTACTTTGTATCTAATCCACTAGAAAATTCTTTTGATCTTTAAAAAATATGTCTGGAGGGCCAGGCATGGTGGCTCACGCCTGTAATCCTAGCACTTTGGGAGGCCGAGGTGGGCGGGTCACCTGAGGTCAGAAGTTCAAGACCAGCCTGACCAACATGGTGAAACCCCGTCTCTAAAACGAAAATTAAAATATAAAATAAATAAATAAATTTAAAAATGTCCAGAATCCAGCCATTGCCTTCTACCGTGGCTGTGTTACCAGCAACCCTAACATTGATTACTCTAAAGGCCCTCTAAATGGTTTCCCTGTTTTTTATCTTCTCTTCTCGATTCTCTCCTCTCCTTCCCTTCTATACGTAGCTTTATGATGCTGAGCTTGAGACTCTGTAAACTGTTTCTGGCTCCATGTTAAATTCTGCCAACAGGGAGTGCTAGAGGGATTCTGAAAAGCTGGAAAATGAAGTTCCCTTCCCCTCCCCTCCCCTCCCTCCTCGTCTCCCCTCCTTCCGTCTCCTGCACTGTGTGCCACCCCCAGCTAACTTTTATATTTTTAGTAGAGACGGGGTTTTGCCATGTTGGCCAGGCTGGTCTTGAACTCCTGGCCTCAGGCAATGCACTCACCTCAGCCTCCTAAAGTGCTGGGATTTCAGGCATGAGCCATCATGCCCAGCCAAATGGTTTCCCTATTTCTACTGTTGATTCCTTCATTCCAGCCCACCCCCAGTCTATGCTCAACACAAATCTGGAAAGATCTGATTAAAATCTAGGTCAGATCATATTACACCTTGGTTTTAAACCCTAAATAGCTTTCTGTTTACCTCAGAAAATAAGCCCGTCCTTTCAGGGCTTTCAGAAATAAGTAATGTATCCATTACTTTTCTTATCCCCTATTACTTTTTTTTTTTTTTTTTTTTTTTNTGATCTTAGCTCACTGCAACCTCTGCTTCCTGGGTTCAAGTGATTTTCCTGCTTCAGCCTCCTGAGTAGCTGGGACTATAGGCATGTACCACTACGGTTGGCTAATGTTCGTATTTTTAGTAGAGATGGGATTTCACCATGTTGGCCAGGCTGGTCTTGAACTCCTGACCTCAGGTGATCTGCCCGCCTTGGCCTCCCAAAGTGCTGGGATTACAGCATGCCCGGACTCCCTATTACTTTTTTACTTAGTTACTTAGCTTCAGTTACCTGACCTTCTTCTTGTTCTTTGAATACACCAGGCATGCTCCTGCCTTTGGTCCTTTGTCCTTATCCTCTCTGCCGGCAAAACTTTTTGTCTAGACATCCCCAAAAAACCCTCACCTCTTTCAAGTGTTTGCTCAAATGTTACCTTTTCAAGGAGGACTGATTACCAATTTAAAAAATATGCCTGCCTCTTTCCCCAACACATGCTGCTTTCCCAACCTCCTATATCTACTTCTCATTTATTTCCATAGCATATATCACTTTCTAACATATTATATAATGTACTTATGTTTAATGTTTATTGTTTATTGCTTATTTCTCCTGCCAGAATGTAAGCTCCATGGGGCAGTGACCTTTGTTCTGTTTACTGATATAGCTACATGCTTAGAACAATGCCTGGCATGTGATAAATCCTCTATAAATACTTGTTAAATGAGTGGAAGAAATATTATTGTGTTAAAAATATACTTCCATATAAAACTTTAAGATCACACAATGTAGTATTTACTGTAACATCTCACTCACCTGTAACATTTTTAACTTCATCCATCATCACGTTCAAATCAATCTTCCCATTATCTTTAAGATAAAAAACATCAAAAAGATTTATGAAAAATGATATAAGGTCCTTGCATTTTTAAATAGAAACCCAAAAGTCAATTATTCAAAAATATTTCCCTAGAAATTTATTTTTCCAAGTCCAATGCTCATGAATTTAATTAATATAGCTACTACTATTTACCCTACAAACAATCAAAATCTGTATTTCACAATGCGATAGTAAAGTTTAAAGCATTCTTCTTTTCTTCAGGACAATCTATTATCTAGTAAGTTAGTCTTTTCAGGGGTTAGAAATTTGAGAAAAAATTTTATTTAAAAATGGTATTTCCATTTTTGTCAATGCTGACTTGACTTTAGGCTTATGATCACTTTGGCACTAAGTTATCCACTAAAAGATTAGAGTGTTGGTATCCATGTCTGGTTGCTCTTAGGTTGCCAACATAAGTATCATGCTGATATACCCAGTTAAAGTCCATTTGCGATGACAAAACTTTTATTTTGTTGTGACCATTCTCAATTAAAATATATTTTCATAGATCATGTACTTAATTTCTTTGATCAGTATTTCTCAAATTAAAGTCTGAAGTCACTGGAAGTCAAGTGGATAAATGTTAAGCAGTTTGTAAGATTGCAAATTTGAGAAACACTGGATAGGGAGGCTAAGCTAGTAGTTGAGAGACATTATTACCCTTATAGGCAAGTTCAGTTTGGAACCTTAAAGCTGCTGAAGGACATGCTGTTTTTTTACTTATGACTTGGTCAAGGGTGTCAATTCATCACTGCTCAAATATGTTTGCACTGTTGTATTATTTGTAATATTCCTAAGACTATAAGTTTATCTGAAGACAAGATACCAAGAATCACTTTGCATTCTTACTATCACCTAGGCATTAGTGTAATGGTTTGCACAAGATTGATGCTCCATAAATATTTACTAAATAATCGTTTTAGCAAAATGCAAACATATTATAAAGAATGAATTAGCTTTAAAATTATTATATTCCAGGTTCTTAGATACAGAATTTATCTTTGTTCTTTTAAAATATTGCTTATGACAATCTTTTGCTGGTATTCTTTTTTCTCTTTTTGAGATAGGGACTCACTCTGTTGCGTAGGCTGGACAATCCACCTGCCTCACTCTCCCAAGTAGCTAGGACTAAAGGCACATACCACCATCCCTGGATTATTATTTTTTTTTTTTGAGACAGAGTGTCATTCTATTGCCTAGGCTGGAGTGTAGTGGCACGATCTTGGCTCACTGCAACCTCCACCTCTTGGGTTCAAGCAATTTTCCTGCCTCAGCCTCCTGAGTAGCTGGATTATGGGTGTGTACTACCATGCTCAGTTAATTTTTGTAATTTTAGTAGAATTGGGGTTTCACTCTGTTGCCCAGGTTGGTCTCAAACTCCTGGCCTCATGCGACCCATCTGCCTTGGCCTCCCAAAGTGCTGGGATTACAGGCGTGAACCACTGTGCCCAGCCGTTCCCGGACAACTAAAAGAAATACTTTTTAGAGATGAGGCCTTGCTATGTTGCCTAGGCTGGTTTTGAAGTCCTAGCCTCAAGAGATCCTCTCGCCTCAGCCACCCAAAGTGCTGGGATTACAGAGGTGAGCCACTGCACCTGGCCTGGTATTATTTTACAGTTTTATAATACCTTATTAATATGGTTACTATTATAACTTTTAAATAGGACAAGGAAGAAGTTTTTTTTGATAAAAGTCTGCCTGTAAATGACATGCCACCACACCCTTCACTTTCTGTGTTTCCAATTAGCTCTACTGATATTGTTTCAGGCCCATTAGGTTCTGAAACAATATTCTATCCTATCTCAGATGATTAAACAGATGTACAAGATATTCTACAAGAATGATATTAAGGGCCTCACACTTTAAATCACTGTGCTGGTGATGTTCTAAGATACTAGGACAATGGGGTAACCGCAAATATCTACATTTATTGCATTGGTAGGTTGAAAGAGCTATAGAAGAGATTTAAAAACAAAAGAAAAAGTCATTTTTTGAAAACTGCTTGCTCATTAAGGTAAAGGTACCATGGGCTTAGAACAGTGCCTGATGCATAATAGGCATTAAAGTCAATGGAATCAAAGAATAAAAGGTACTACTGATTTAGAAAAGCACACACAGTATTCATTGACTTGGGTTAATTTTATATTTTTACTATTTCCTCTAGGGAGCAGTAGTCCCCCAAAATTTTCTGATGAAATTTTTTCAGTTCCACTAGCATAAGACCATCTAAAATATGCCAAGTTTAATGAATTTCATTTGTAACATTACTATATACCTTTTAAAATTGGTTAATTCAATTAGCTCATGGAAGTATAGCATCATGGTTAAGAGACAGTTTCTGAAGGCTGATTGCCTAGGTTCTTTTCCTGGCTCCATCATTTACTAGCTTTCTGTCTTTGGGCAAGTGAGTTTTCTGTGCCTTAGCTTCCTTATATGTAGAATGGGGATAAAAACAGAACCTACCTTTTAGGGTTGTTTGCAAGATTAAATAAGTTGATACATGAAAGTGCTTAGCATAGTGTCTTGCATGTGTCAGGACCACACGGTGTTGGTCATGGCTATTTAATGCTGGATTAGCAGTAGGGACTAAAAGATTAATGTCCTGTGTATTTTTGTTAAATCTTGGCATTTCCTGTGGTGTTACATAGTGAGTTGACACTTGCTATTTATGTTGGCAGTATTCTTGGTGATTCTTCCCACACGGTAGCCATTGGGTTCAGTTTGGTAGCTGCAGTGAAGGCCTTATTCTTTCATTTCTTTTCATATATATCCTATTTTCAATCATTTCAGCCCTTTCAATCATTCCAGCCCCACTACTAGCCTTATGCTCAAAGGTTTACTAAGGGGTACACTGATGTTCAAACACTCACCATCAACTGGTAGGTTGTCCTTCAGTGACTGGATTTCTTTCTCCTTGAGATCAATTCCTGTGCTTTTCAGAAACATTTCCATCTTATCTGAAGACACCTTTGTTCCTTAAGAAATAAGGGGATGAATGCAAGAAAATTTATAATGATATAAAGAGTGGGGATTTTTTGCTCATATCTAGGCATCAATACTATTCACAGAATGAAGGGCAAAGAACAATTAAACTATTCAAGTAAACATGGTTTTTGGTATATAAGTCAGGAATTTCTAAACCCCTAGCTGTGGGATTCTGTTATGGCTTTTAGCAGAACTAAAGATTAAAATCAACCTTTATAAATGTGTCTGCATCATAAGATTTAAAACTTGCCAAAATAATGGAGAAAAATAAATAATTGAGTAAAGTTCATGGGTTTACTCCATCATAATCCCCTGGAAATATTTTTAAAATTTTTATATTTTAATTGACATATAATAATTGCATATTTTAAAGGGTACAATGTGATGTTTTGATACATGTAATCATTGTGGAATAATCAAATCAGTGTAATTAGTATATCTATCACCTCAAATATTTATCATTTCTTTATGGTGAGAACATTAAAATCCTTTCTTGTAGCCTGAAAAACACAACACATTATCATTAATTATAGCCATCTTGCTCTGCAATAGAACACCAGAACTTATTTTTCCTAACACTAACTTTGTATCTGTTGACCAATATCTTCTGGGACAGTTTCTTTTCACCTTTTCTGTTTATTTTTTTATTTTTATTTTTTATTTATTTATTTTTTTTTTGAGACGGAGTTTCGCTCTTGTTACCCAGGCTGGAGTGCAATGGCGCGATCTCGGCTCACCGCAACCTCCGCCTCCTGGGTTCAGGCAATTCTCCTGCCTCAGCCTCCTGAGTAGCTGGGATTACAGGCATGCGCCACCATGCCCAGCTAATGTTTTGTATTTTTAGTAGAGACGGGGTTTCACCATGTTGGCCAGGATGGTCTCGATCTCTTGACCTCGTGATCCACCCGCCTCGGCCTCCCAAAGTGCTGGGATTACAGGCTTGAGCCACCGCGCCCGGCCTGTTTATTTTATTTGTTCACTTAAAGTTCTGGGATACATATGCAGAACGTGCAGGTTGGTTACATAGGTATACATGTGTCATGGTGGTTTGCTGTACCTATCAACCGGTCATCTAGGTTTTAAGCCCCACATGCATTAGCTATTTGTTCTAATGCTCTCCCTCTCCTTGCTGCCTAGCTCTAAACAGGCCCCAGTGTGTGATGTTCCCTTCCCTGTGTCCACATGTTCTCATTGTTCAACTCCCACTTAGGAGGGAGAACATGTGGTGTTTGGTTTTCTGTTCCTGTGTCAGTTTGCTGAGAATGAGGTTTTCCAGCTTCATCCATGTCCCTGCAAAGGACATGAACTCATTCTTTTTTATGGTTGCATAGTATTCCATGGTTTATATGTGCCACATTTTCTTTATCCAGTCTATCATTGATGGGCATTTTGGTAAATAATTTCATTATTTATGAAATAATAAAATTGAGCAGGTTGTTCAATTTCCATGAAGTTGTGCAGTTTTGAGTGAGTTTCTTAATCCTGAGTTTTAATTTGATTGCACTGTGGTCTGAGAGACTGTTATGATTTTTGTTCATTTGCATTTGCTGAGAAGTGTTTTACTTCCAATTATGTGGTTGATTTTAGAATAAGCACCATGTGGCACTGAGAAGAATGTATATTTTGTTGATTCTGGGGAGTTCTGTAGCTATCTATTAGGTCCGCTTGGTCCAGAGCTGAGTTCAAGTCCCAAATATCCTTGTTAATTTTCTGTATTGTTGATCTGTCTAATATTGATGCTGGGGTATTAAAATCTTCTACTACTATTGCGTGGGAGTCTAAGTCTCTTTGTAGGTCTCTAAGAACTTGTTTTATGATTCTGGGTGTTCCTGTATTGGGTGCATATATATTTAGGATAGTTAGCTCTTTTTGTTACATTGATCCCTTTACCATTATGTAATGCCTTTCTTTGTCTCTTTGATCATTGTTGGTTTAAAGTCTGTTTTATCAGAGACTAAGACTGCAACCCCTGATTATTTTTGCTTGCCATTTGCTTGGAAGATATTCCTTCATCCCTTTATTTTGAGCCTATGTGTGTCTTTGCATGTGAGATAGGTCTCCCGAATACAGTACACTGATGGGTCTTGACTCTATCCAATTTGCCCATCTGTGTGTCTTAATTGGGGCATTTAGCTCATTTACATTTAAGGTTAATATTGTTATGTGTGAATTTGATCCTGTCATCATGATGCTAGCTGGTTATTTTGCACTTTAGTTGATGTAGTTTTTTCATGATGTCATTGGTCTTTATATTTGGTATTTTTTTTTGCAGTGGCTGGACCAGTTTTTCCTTTCCATATTTAGTGCTTTCTTTAGGAGCTCTTGTAAGGCAGGCCTGGTGATGACAAAATCCCTCAGCATCTGCTTGTCTGGATTTTATTTCTCCTTCGCTTATGAAGCTTAGTTTGGCTGAATATGAAATTCCGGGTTGAAAATTCTTTTCTTTAGGAGTGAATATTGGTCCCTCCTCTCTTCTGGCTTGTAGGGTTTTTGCAGAGAGATCCGCTGTTAGTCTGATGGGCTTCCCTTTGTAGGTAACCTGGCCTTTTTCTCTGGCTGCCCTTAACATTTTTTCCTTGGTTTCAACCTTGGAGAATCTGATGATTATGTGTCTTGGGGTTGCTCTTCTTGAGGAGTATCTTTGTGGTGTTCTCTGTATTTTCTGAATTTAAATGTTGGCCTGTCTTGCTAGGTTGGGGAAGTTCTCCTGGATAATATCTTGAAATGTGTTTTCCAACTTGGTTCCTTTCTCCCCATCACTTTCAGGTATACCAGTCAATCATAGGTTTGGTCTTTTCATATAGTCTCAATTTCTTAGAGGCTTTGTTCATTCCTTTTCATTCTTTTTTTCTCTAATCTTGTCTTCACACCTTATTTCAGTAAGTTGATCTTTAATCTNTGATTGATTCAGCTATTGATAACTTGTGTAAGCTTCACCAAGTTTTTGTGCTGTGTTTTTCAGCTCCATCAGGTCATTTATGTTCTTCTCTAAACTGGTTATTCTAGTTAGCAGTTCCTGTAACCTTTTATCAAGGTTCTTTGCTTCCTTGCTTTGGGTTAGAACATGATCCTTTAGCTTGGAGGAGTTTGTTATTACCTACCTTCTGAAGCCTACTTCTGTCAATTTGTCAATTTCATTCTCCATCCAGTTTTGTTCCCTTGCTGGAGAGGAGTTGTGATCATTTGGAGGAGAAGAGGCATTCCGGTTTTCGGAATTTTCAGTGTTTCTGTACTGGTTTTTCCTCATCTTTGTGGATTTATCTACCTTTGATCTTTGAGGCTGATGACCTTTGGATGGGGTTTTTGTGTGTGGGTCTTTTATGTTGATGTTGTTGTTTTCTATTTGTTAGTTTTTCTTCTAATAGTCAGGCCCTTCTTCTGCAGGTCTGCTGAAGTTTGCTGGAGGTCCTCTCCAGATCCTGTTTGCCGGGGTATCACCAGTAGAGGCTGCAGAACAGCAAAGATTGCTGTCTGCTCCTTCCTCTGGAAGCTTTATCCCAGACGGGCACTGGCCTGATACCAGCTGGAGTTCTCTTGTATGAGGTATCTGCCGACCCCTGTTGGGAGATTTCTCCCAGTCAGGAGGCACGGGGTGAGGGACCCATTTGAGGAGGCAGTCTCTCCCTTAGCAGAGCTCCTGCACTGTGCTAGGAGAATCTCTCTTGTCAGATCAGCTGCTCTCTTCAGAGCCAGCAGGCAGGAACGATTAAATCCACTGAAGCTGTGCCCACAGTTGTCCCCTTCCCCCAGGTGCTCTGTCCCAGGGATATGGTGGTTTTGTCTGTAAGCCCCTGACTGGGGCTGTTACCTTTCCTTCAGAGATGCCCTGCCCAGTGAGGAGGAATCTAGAGAAGCAGTCTGGCCACAGCTACTTTGCCAAGCCCAGCCCAGACCTTCCAGCTTCTTAACACTGTCAGGGGAAAACTGCCTACTAAAACTTCAGTAATGGCAGATGCCCCTCCCCCTACCAACCTCAAGGTTGACTTCAGACTGGTGTGGTGCCAGAAAGAATTTCAAGCCAGTGGTTCTTAGCTTGCTGGGCTCTCTGGGAGTGGGACCCACTGAGTGACACCACTTGGCTCCCTGGCTTCAGCCCCCTTTCCAGGGAGTGAATGGTTTTGTCTCACTGGGGTCCCAGGTGCTACTGGGGTACAAAAAAATACTCCTGCAGCTAGCTCAGTGTCTGCCCAAATAGCTGCCCAGTTTTGCACTTGAAATCCAGCGCCCTGGTGGTGTAGGCACATGAGGGAATCTCCTGATTGGCAGACTGCAAAAACCATGGGAAAAGTGTAGTAACCTGGCTGTGTTGCATAGTCCCTTGTAGATTCCCTTGGTTGGGGGAAGGAGGTCCCCGACTCCTCGTTCTTCCCAGGGGAAGCAATGCCACACCCTGCTTCTGCTCGCTCTCCGTGGGCTGGACCCACTGCCTAACCAGTCTCAATGAGATGAACTGGGTACCTCAGTTGGAAATGCAGAAATCACCCACCTTACGCATTGGTCTTGCTGGGAGCTGCAGACAGAGCTCTTCCTATTTGACCACCTTGGTACCCTCCTCCTTGAAACTTTTTAATAACATGTTTCTAGGTACTACCTCTAGAAATCCAAGAGCAATATGACAGAAAAAGGGCCTAGTGATATGAATGCTAAAACAGTGTTTTGTTTTTCCGGTGATTCTGATGCACAACTTTATTTTGAAACCACTATTTTTGGGTCTACTGTAGTTAAACCATTTTAGTGATTGCAGTGTACCTAAAAGCATATAAGGATAAACACTGAATTAATAAACAGTTGGAACAGCAGGATTAGTAATCTGAAAATTGTGAAATAGGAAGGGTTTTTGAAAACAACAGTAAAGCTTGAGGACCTCAGTTTTACCGGCCTTTTTACCTTACTTCTCACTCACCTTCAAGACCCCTCAATTCTTTCATCAGTCTGTTCACATATACCCTTCCTTTGGCTGTAAGACAGAGAAAAATTCAAGTCTCAGGAAGCAATGCAGATATTTAAAAAATAGTACAAAACATGAATAATTTCAGAACGTACACTTTAAAATGTTTTATCCTAGAAATTTATACTTTTTCATTTTCAAGAATAAAACTCAGGAATGGAAACAGTTCTCAATTTGATGAAATCATTTTGTTGGTTATGACATGAAACATTCCTTACATAGAGTATTAGTCACAAAAGTTCATATGCTCAACCTTCTTCGAAGAAGCCTGTTACTTTGTTATTGTTGAGACAGGGTCTTGGTCTGTCACCCAGGCTGGAGTGCAGTGGCAGGATCTCACTTCACTATAGACTCTGCCTCCTGGTCTCAAGTGATTCTCCCACATCAGCCTTCCAAGTAGCTGGGACTACAGGTACGAGCAGCCATGCCTGGCTACTTTTTAAACTTTTTTTTTGTAAAGATGGGGTCTCACTATGTTGCCCAGTTTGGTCTCAAAGTCTTAAACTCAAGTGATTCTTCTACCTAAGCCTTCCAAACTGCTGGGATTATAGGCATGAGCCACTGCACCTGGCTTTACTATAATTTTTAAAATTTAAATTTAAACTTTTTGAGACAGGGCTTGACTTGTCATCCAGGCTGGAATGCAGTGGTACAATCACTGCTCAAAGCAGTCTTCACATCCTGGGCCCCAGCAATCCTCCCACCTCAGCCTCCTGAGTAACTGGGACCACAAGCATATGCCACATGCTTGCCTGGTTATGTGATATTTTTAATGCTTACCATCAATTGGAAGATTATTCAGCAGTTGCACGCCTTTATCTTCTGCGAGCTCTATCCCTATATTTTCCAGAAAATTTTCCAGGTTCCCAGTATCAACCTTCTCACCTTTAAAAAGTAAAAAGTGAAAATGGTTTAAAGTTTGAAGAATGATGATTCTATATTAAGAAAAATGTTCATGTGACATCATTTGCTGATTAAACATTAATGAAATAAATCTGGCAAGAATGCCAGCTATTGCTCAGACATAATCCTAAAGCTTTTTGCTAAAACAATGATGGTCAAAATTAGGCTGTGAGTCATTAGATGCAAACATTCACCAGTAAATAGGTAGAGTGAGAGAATGCATCAAAAAGGGAAACAACTGCATTTAAAATAGAATTTTGTGTGAACATTAGAATCTTGGTTTTGTAAAATTTTCTTAATTGCATGTTTTGGTACCATACAGGGCCTTTCTCTAGGGGTTTTGTTCTTAACCTCACCTGGTTCTCTGTCATGCCTCAGGGATTTGGTGGGTCTGTGTTCCTCTTCCTAGTAGCTACAACACGCAGTGCATTTCCTGTGCTTCCTTCCTTAAAGGTGGCTAGGAAGTCAGATGCAACCTCCCAAGCTCACCTCTTTTTGTGTGCCTCAGGAACACTAGCATGTACAGATTTTTTATTCTTAGAACTTTAATGTAAAGTGCTAGAGGGAAACCGACAGGTGATCACCAAACTATCACAAGCATGAATGACACAAAGCTAACAAGTTTATTTGGTAATGAACTTAGTTTTAGTTCCTCATTATGAGAGTGGAAATCAGTTATTCTTGCCCCCTGCAACCATCTCCCAATCTGCTCTTAGGATGACTGTGTACAATTTTCCTTTACCACAGCTCTTTTCTCTGGCTTGAAGATGCAGTTTCTTTCTTTCTTTATTATCTGAACATAACCTCAATATTTTATTGTTTTCTTAATAAAACAAAAGATAAAGCTCAGAACTGAATCACTTGGTCCTTTCTTGTTCTAGCTCCTTCCAGTTCTCTTAACAGCCAGCATTCTCTGAGATCTGCAGATGGGCTTAACACACACTTACCTCAGCACAATCTTCTTGGTAGTTTTAGCCTTTTCTGGAAAATCGGCTTAGTCTGCCCATCATAGCCACTCTGCTTCCTGTCATAACACTGCTTTCCCTGGGCATACAGAGAATCCTTGCTCTCTTACACTGTGTCACTTTGTGGGGCTGGTGCTTGCCATACTTCCTACGGAAAGTCCAATGTTCCAAAGTCCAGAAATATTGGAAACAAATGTGTCCAATGTTTTATGTCCCACCAACAAAATGATTTCATCAAATTGAGAACTGTTTCCATTCCTGAGTTTTATTCTTGAAAATGAAAAAGTATAAATTTCTAGGACAAAACATTTTAAAGTGTACATTCTGAAATTATGTATAGAAACTCCAGTGCTCTATTGGTTGGGAACAAAAGCTAAAGATGCAGTTAAGGCAGACAAATCAGATGTCCTAATCCTTTCCAATTCCAGCAAAAGAAAATTCTTGCTTTTGGTCCTCTGGAACCACAATACAGTGTTTCCATTGAGAGGGAAACATCTGGGAGTTAGCCAGTCATATGCACAAATGCCTGGAAGGAAATGCGCACAAGGGTTGTTTTCCCCAAGATGCCTCAGAACTCTCTTGTGAAGCCTTGGACCACTGGGACTTCTAATATCCCCCTGTCACCAGCCAAAGGAGTGACTCTTCAGACTCAAAAGAGCAGCCTCCCAGTCTTCTAACTTGATTAAGCTTTTGACAAGATACAGAGCTTTTGCCTCAAGGGAATTGGTCTAACTATACCTTTTATCCATATTGCTTTCATTTTCCAGAATGAAAGCCCCTCTAAATTTTCTGGCCTCTCTGGTCTATTCTGTTTTATTACATTGATATTTTCTTTCTATTGCTAGCTTCTTTTTAACCCTTCTCAGATTGCACTCTGAAATCATACTTCATTAAATGTAAATTTCTCTATATCTTCAGTCTCTTTATAGACTTTTCTTTTAACCTTCTTTCTTAACTGAACTTTGCCTCTTCCTAATAGAATTTTCTATGACTTACTTTTATTTTTGAGATAAGACTGCTCATTTTTCTATGTCCTAATTGTGTCAGGGCTTGGCATTCTTCTAGATTACAACTGCTGCTTTCCAACCAAACCCAAACTTCTCTTTTGAGATTTATGAAATTTGGCTTTCTTTGTATTGCCACCCACTAGCTTCTTGGTCACTTCAGAAGCTTGTCCCATGACCCATAGTCTTCTTCTTCCTCCAAAAACTCCTGGGATCATTATAAGGAATTCTAGCCTTTATTCAGATAACTCATTCAAAGACTGGCCTCCAAATTTCTTGACCTTCTTATCCTCAATGACTGTCTATTAAATTCTACGCTAGTTAACTCTCCAGGACACATTCTGGACTTTGTCATCACCTAGAAATGCTTTACCTCTAAAATCTTAAATTCCAACATGCTGACTACTGGCCAATACCTTGTAATTCTTCCATTTATTTTAATTCCTTATTCATCCACACCTGTTATATCCTTAGAGAGAATTTTCATTCTCCTCTCTCACTTTTCTCTAAGTTCACAACTTTACTTCTTTCTGTGTTCACACTAGACCACATAATCATTTTCCTGGTCTACATGGTTAAGTCTTTATGCTTTCATTCTTTTGGTACATGAACCTTAGAATCTCCTAATTTGGGCCAGCTGAAGAATACCATATAATAATATGAAAGGTTGCCGTTATGTTTTAATTATATCTAACTACGGTTATCTCTTGGCACTTCTCCTCAATGCCTTCATGTATTCCTTATTAACTTTAGTTCATATTTTCTATCAAAGTTATATAAAATCAAATTAGTATAGCTGTTATGGAAAACGGTATGGAGATTTCTCAGGGAACTAAAACATGGAGCTGCCATTTGATCTAGCAGTTCCACTACTGGGTATACACCCAACAGAAAATAAATCATTATATTAAAAAGACATCTGCACTCTTGTGTTTATTGCAGCACTATAGCAGAGATGTGGAATCAATCTAAGTGTCCATCAGTAGATGACTGGATAGAGAGGATGGAGTATGTATATACCAAGGAATACTACTCAGACACTAAAAAAATGAAATGATGCCTTTTGCAGCAACATGAATGGAACTGGAGGCCATTATCCTCAGCAAAATAACTTAGAAACAGAGGGTTAAACTACCACTTGCTCTCACTTATAACTGGGAGCTAAACAATGGGTACACATGGACCTACAGAGTGGAATAATGGACATTGAAGACTACAAAATGTAGGAGGGTGCAGGGGTGAGGGTTGAAAAATTACCTATTGGGTACAGTATTCACTGCTTGAGTGGTGGGTACACTAAAAGCCCAGAATTCACAATGATGCAATATATACATGAACTAAATCTGCACTTGTATCCCCCTACATATGTAAAACTAAAAACAAAAACAAGAAACAAATTTATATAAAATCATCGATACTCTTCTTGAAATTCCCTACCCCACCACTGTGTCCTTCCTGTTAGTAGATGATCCTGTTTTCTACTTTACAAAGAAAATTGAAGCTTTTAGGTAAACTCCTTTGAATTTTACTCCCACATTTACCTAGATTATCTATATCTGTGCCCTTTCTAACTTGAAGTCTGCTTGTCTCGGAAAAAGAGGTGGCTTCAGATTCTTACTCATATATTCAATTGTAAGATGATGTCTTTAGATGTCCCACAGAAACCCCAAATTCAATATGACCCAAAATGGAAACTCTATCTTTACTTCTAAATCTTTTACTGAATTCCTTATTTTGGTGACTGTCACTATCACTCACCCAACTACCCAACTCAGAAACGAAGGAGTCACCCTTTACTTTTTCCTTTCTTCCAATCTCCATACCTGATCAGGAATCAAACCCTGAAATACTGTATCTATAATATCTCTTATA